GATCGCACAGATATCGAAGTATCGACCAATCACCGTAGGAGTCGGCAATGAATTTTCATATGCCTATATATATACAGTATATATATATATATTATATCACATTATATTATATTATATTGTATTGTATTATACTATATTATACTATATTGTATTATATATATATACATTCATATTTGACTATATTACATTATACATTTATCTATATAAATACTTTATTGTTTGATAAAGGCATCCGTCATTGTCCAATGCAATCCAAGGACCATTCAGATCCACCCAATTCCCTCCCTTCATTCCAGTCGCAGTGGTGACCGTTCTGACCGGGGCTGCAGTGGTGACCACCAGAAACCGACAGAACTGACGTGCGGCGCTTGCGCATATCGTGCACCAGGTGGTCACCGATCAGGAGGGGCGCCCGGAAGCCTTCAAGAGCTTCTTCGAGCGTGCGAAGAGTGGCCTAGTAGTACCTGGGCGGATGAAAGGGTGGAAGGAGAAGGTGAGTGGGATGGTTAACCCTTCAGGATGCACAGGGTCCAGGTTTTGACCCACAGCCCATATTTTTCTGCTTGTTTGATGAAGGCCCACCTAGCCGGTTGATGAGGCCACGGTGACTCTGAGACGAGACTTGATGGGACCTGGTGGGATTTTTTCCGGTGTGAGGGGGAGGGCAGTTTTCTGAGCCGTGGATAGAAAGAATTGAAGAAGCAACATGTCCTTGTGTGATCCTTGTGTCATCTTGTGTCGTCAAGAACACCCTTTCAAGCTTTCAATCTTTCTGTCGTCCTTGGCACCTTTCCGACTTCCTATTTTGTGGAGACCTTTCTGTCATCTTTTTGTTTCCCATGGAGACCTTTTTTTCCCATCTACACAATTTTTGTGAGGGACCAACTGATGATAACTGGTGGAACTTTCATCCCAATCATCGAGGTGGTCAGACGTCAGTTGAGAAGCCAACTGGCCCATGGGGATTGAGCTGGGGAAAGCGCGTGTGTCCTGACCAAAACGTGGGGAACCTGTGAGTTCCACCATGTTCCAGCTGGAACCAGACCGGTCGACTCCCGGTCGCTCGACCCACAACACGCGGCCGCAGGTCGAGAGTGATGTGTACATCACCACCGACGAGTTGGTCGCAGCTCGGCCCCGCGAAATGAGTTCGGTCGAACGTGGCGGGATGGACGGATGGATGGTTCGCCGAAGGGAACCAGCAGGATCCGACAGGTTTTGAGTAGGAACAAGAAGCTACAAGGGGCTCCTGGCATCGCTCCGAACGGAGCAAGGACGCTACGAACGGGGCTCCTGGCCTTACTAGGAGCAAGAAGCTATTAGGAACAAAGGGCATCGCTACTAGGAGCAAAGATGCTACTAGTTGCTCCTGGCCTTACTAATAGGAGCGATGTTCGCTACTAGGGGCTCCTGGCATCGCTACGTAGAAAGGTTGTTGCCACCGGAGTCTTCGCGTCTTCGGAGTCGCGTTTTTCCGCTTCAGTCTTTTCATGGAAAGGATCATTTTTGGCACGGAACTGGAACACACCACCCAGACACGGTGGTGTCACAACGGTTTTCATCATCCCTTGACTCCTTGACGGCTGTGCAGTTAGCTTGGTTTGTTGGTTTTTGATCCTAGCTAGTCACGAGTCCCATTTCACAGGGAAAACCTACCCTCTTGAATAGCACCGGGCTGGCATTTGTCGGGGCCAGCGCTCCACGGATCCTCCGAAAGCAACGGACAGCCTGAGCCGAGGCGGTGATGTGGAAGAACGGCTACTCCGATTCGGAGCGCAACGCCATTCAGCCACTGGGTCCGGGAAAGCCGAAGATCAATTCCAGTCAGACCGAAGCTGAAAAGGTTTCCAATAGTTTGGGAACTAGGATGAACTAGGCAATTTCATGAAATTTCAAAGGTCGTATGGACATGTACGTAGGGACAGTTGACCATACTCTTCAGCAACACCCTTTCCTTTCTGGCTTGAAGAGAGCCATACCGGCCCTGACTGACATAGCTTATTAAGCTGATTGGTGAACACGTCTTACAAGCCAGCTTCCAGAAAATTCACTATGAGATGTAGGTAAGCAATGGTTCTCAAGACTTCCAGAGTTCAAGGATTCAAGACTCAAGACCTTGGCAACCTGGCGAAATCATGCATGGGGCAGATTAAGAGAGGGCAATCCAGGCGGACCTCACATTCGCTTGGCCGTCCGCCCGCTTTACTTTAGCTGGTCTCTTTGCCGCTGCGAAGGGGCACCGAACCCTGCCTCCGCGGCTATCACCAGACCCTAACAAGGTCACGTTGGAAGGATGATGAATGTTGTGGGATGAGTGGATGTTGTGGAAAGGATGAGTGTTGTGGAACATGTGGACGCTGTTGTGGAGAGGACGCATTGTTGTAGAGGAACATGTTCTTCCACAGGGTGATTTTCGGGGTCCATGTTAGTCTGCAGGGGTGTAATGAATGTTGTGGAACGTGGGGATCGTGTTTTAGAATTGTTGAACGTTGCCGAACATGTGAACCGTTTGGTGTCAAAGCTCGTGAATGCTGTGCATGTAGTGGTCCACATGAGGGCGTTCAATATACTGGTTTCTCTCTTGCAAACGTTGATAATAATAAGATATAATAAGCCTACCTATTTATAGTAACAATAACAATAACATATATATGCATATATCCAAAAAGACCTCCGACACATTATTGGGGCCTTTGCAGGAAGTTTGGAGCTGGGCCCTGGGGCCCTGCTCAGGTTTACCTTCCCGAGCGACTACAAGTTTCACTATCCGGAGCTGTCAGCCATGTTTGATATTCCAGAGGAGGATACCTACAAGTTCTGCATGCGCACCCGCATTGAGGACAGTGGCTGGGACTTTTTAAGAAGTTGAAGGAAGATGGAAGAGAGGGGGGATGAACATGTTGGGTCAGAAGATCAACCGTCAAAAAGAGCGCCTTCCAATCAGGAGTGCTAGAAGAAAATACCTTTGAGCAGATCATCAATGAGAATGAGTCACTATGAGTTAGCCTCTGACTCACTAACATGGAAGTGGAAAATGGTTTTCCAGAGTCGGAGTGTATCCTCTAGTAGATTGCACCCAGAATGGCCAGTTCTTGGATGGCTAGACGATGGCTAAAAACACGAAGAGGAAGCGATTGTTCTACCATTTCCCTTGAATTGATAATCCGACCATTTGGCAACAATCCGTGCAGTCTACATCAGCAATCTACTCGAACCCTCGTTGAACGGAGAACAATCAGATGGCCAGGGGTAATGCGTCATAAAGTCTCTAAGGAGGAGAAGCAAGAGAAAAAACGAACTTGGACCCAATAGAATCTGTAATAAGCATATATATATATATATGTATGTACCAATATTTCTACACATTTGTGAAACAAAGCAAACAACAGGTGACCTGGTGACCTGCACCGAATCTGGACGCAGCTCAGCAGTCCATATATCGCCCGACCACAGAGACTAGCCACCCGAACCAGGCGCTGGAGGACCATGTGATGACCAGGTTCCGAAGGGTCCTAGTGTGTGTTTTTCAGACCCCGGACCCTGCCGGAAAGGGAGTTATGAGTGGCCAATGGCCAGAGGAACAACCAGTGTGGTGCTGGTATTGATGGGCTGTTCAACTCTGGTCTTGTAGTCCTGGCCCACAGCTGGGACGCCCCGCCGATGGACGACTGGACGACTGCCATGCTCATGCAAAACACAGCCATGGCATGCCGCAGGGGTGTTCGACATGTTCGTTTGGCCACGGAGACGGAGATGGTTTCGCCCTCATGAAGACGGACGTGTGTGTCGCACGTTCCATGCCACGCACTTTTTCGATGTTTGGCTCCAAGAAGGACCGAGAGCACAAATCATCCGATTCGTAAGGAAGTCGGAGCAAAGAAATGCAAAGAAGCTACGAACGGGGCTCCTGGCCTTTCTACTAGGAGCAAGGACGCTACGAGCGGGGCTCCTGGCATCACTACTAGTAGCATTCTTACTACGAACGTAACAAGAAACTACGAACGGAACAAGGGCATCACCCCCAGCACGCCGCCTCTGACCAGGTCCGCTCCGAATCCCTCTCGGTCCATCCGGGTAGACCGCCCACCGCGCAGACCGCCCCGCCGTCGTCCGAATCGGAGCACCCAGGTCATATCGGCGAGTTGGACCACTCCAAGGCGCGCGGGGCGGCGCACCAATCGAACGAAGGAAGGCGACAGCCAAAGCAAAGCGAACACCGAAAACCGAAAGCCACAGCCGATGTAGTTCGGTGTTGAACTTTCTGGGCCCCAATTTGTGTGACTCTTCTTGAGGAACTCAGCCATTTTGGAGACTGAGACACCATCGGAAGCGGTTTTACGCGATTGGTGCGAATTGGAATCCTTTGTTTGGGACCCTGTGGAGTTGTGCCAAGAATTTTGAGGTATACAGATTGGGTTTAGCCCCTAAACTGGTTGGGAGCCATTATATAGATGAACGGTGATGAAAAGGTCATACATCATAATACTTCTTCAGTCCCTTACTGATCCACCACCTGTGAGATGACATCATCACCCGCAGAATTGGGTCAACCAGGACTTCGGGTGCCTTCGGGGGCCTTTTCGGGTTCACACGGTCTGCACCGGTCGATTCGGGGCCACTTCATCGCGGCCGACGCCGGAAGTTCTCCTCAGATGACGATGTGAGGACATGTTGAAGATGACACGACGTGAAGACATGCAAGCTCCAAGGATTTTCGACCACTTTACGATCAAGGTCGATGAGTGTGGCTCATAGTCGACGAAGAAAACACCCTTCAAATAGCTGAAAGTGGTGGGACAAGAATTCCAAGGCGTGGAATGTGTGGGTTCCCGTGTTTTCTCAATCGACACACTCACATCCAAAGAGAGCCTTCAAGCTTCAGACAGACTGGCCAAAGCGGATATGAGGACGCTTGCCACGACTCACCCCCAAATCCTACCTAGTTTTCAAGAACGCTGAAGTTTGACCATCCAGTCATGTAGTCCTGGGACGTTTGGCGCATGGAAGGCCGCATGACTGCACCAGGGACGGGACTGGGTGATCGACTGGGGGAGAACAAGGTGTTCAGCCGACGAACAGGGTTTGCAGCTGGAAACCTTAAAAGCTGCAGCCATGGAAAAACCCTGCACTTCGATATGATGTGGACCCCTTGTCCTACTAACTAGATCTAACTAGATTCTAGATGATTCTAGATCTAATTATTTAGTAGAGATCAGTGAATTGGTTTTCTGCATCAGGATTTCACGGTGGGTCTTCCATGGTCTCAGGTGTTGCACGGTGGTCTCTGGAGCATTCCACTGACTTTCCGTGACTTGGTTGAGTCTGTTGAGGCACAAGTTGGAGGCCCCTTGCCTTACCCCTCTGCCATGAGCGGCGATGAGAGATGAGTGTGGCGATCTGCAGTCTTTCAGAGTGGTATGACAGCTTGGCGGAAGAAAAGGGTGACCAGTCTCAGCAACCAACATGATCAACATCTAGAACCCGCATAAACATACGTATATACCGGTCCAAAGAATCACAAAGAAAGACAGGTAATTGAGCATACGTTCATTCCGCTTACCTCTTGTTTGGTACCCAGCTGAGCTTCTGGACCTGTACCTTTCTCCGACCTCCGACCTGGTCCGTCTCCATGGCGAGCCTCCGTCGGCGAGGCTTCAATTTGGACCGGAAAGGCTCCGCGACCTCGTTCAGCGCACCGTCCGCCAACGACGATGGAGAGGATGCAGAAGAGCTCAGAAGCTCAACCGACGGCGGACGTGTTTCGCCGAGCTGTTTTTGCCGCGTTTTGCCGCCGTCGGGAGCCGAGCAAGGCAGGTCGAGCGGCATAGTAACAAGAAGCTACTAGGGGCTCCTGGCATCGCTACTAGGAGCAAGGATGCCACCAGGAGCAAAGGGCATCGCTACTAGGAACAAGAAAGCTAGTATGCCGAGCTGTTTTCCGCCTTCGGGAGCCGAGCTCGAAGGCAGGTCGAGCGCCCGTTCTTCTCCGCCTCTTTTGGGAGCTCCGTTTCCGGGGAGGGGGCTTGAGAGAGTTCCGTTTCCGCCGTTGCGAGCGCTCGTGGCCCTTTGGATGTGCGAACGATTGGCTCTTTGGACCACTGCTTTCCACTCCATTTTGGTGGAGTGAGGGTAGATGCAAACGTAGTTATTGCTAGAATTGAAATATATGGTACGCCCTGGTGCCCCCAAGGCCCAAGACTGAATGAAAAGACACTGTGAAGCATACTGTATTACTGTATTCCTGAGGTGAAATTTGTGTATTTGAGGGCAGATACAGATACAGATACTGTGACAACACATGATTTGTCACACTCGGGACAAGGGATCGCGACTGGTACAGTCTACATTGAGGTCATTAGAGTCATTAGAGGTTATATACTCGTATATTTTGAGCAAGGCCAAGTGAACCCCTGATAGACCAGTGGAACATCTGTATGTATAACCACTGTGCTCTTTCACTGGCACCTGCCTTCCAACCACATCGAGCGATCGTCCTACAAATGACTGGTCGTGACTCGGTTCACAAGCAGCTGGATGTCTAAGGACTCTTCAAGCTTCGATATCGCCTCTTTGGTTTTTTGTGCTTGCATTGTTTCGCTTATGTTGCAGCCTGGCAGATGGGCATAGGCCATACGTGGGTTGCATCCCGCGCCCGTCGCTTATGCTGGATCGATTTCTGCGTTCCCGGTGGAGTTTCCAATGGATTTGGGCTGGGTTGCTTTGGATCAACCAATGACCAAACGGCCATTGGAATCCATTTCATGTCGTTTGAATTCATTTGTCATGAGGCACATGGCCGACATGGCCACCCCCCCACCTTTCTCCGCACCTGGCGACGTGTCCAAGCCGCCACCGCATGACATCTGATATCCATTCACCCGGTCCATTTCCATTTCTGAGCCCCAAAAGCGGCTGGCCAAGCGCAAACCATCTCTGTCAGGGTCAGGGTAGGGTCAGATGGAACGGCATCTCCCCGAAATTGGGCACGGCAAATTGGCCATCCACCACCTCTTCCAGTTTGGAGTGTACTGGAGACATGCCTGGCCGGTTCTAGCTAGTCGCGTCACCTTCTTAATTGGAAGCAGCTGTGCGCACCAAACTTCCAGGGTTGACGGCCCAAGCGAATGCGAAGCTGCGATGCTTTTGTGCGATGCTTTTGAACATACTTGACATCTCCATGTTTCGGTGTGTTTTGCTCATCGGTCCGGCCAGCACGGCCATCTAGACACGCAGTGTTTTTTTTGCCAGACACCGGACGCTGATGCCTAGAGACCCAGTCAAGGGAACAAAGGGACCAACCACTGCGGTTTGCTAGGTCTCCCAGTTTCTGACTGCACGCAGACAATGTACGGAGCTCCTTCAAAGAACTCACTTTCTTGGGCGTCCAACCTGAGTGCTTCGCCGGGTACTGTCCTGAAATAGCTTGACAGGATGTCCAACTGTTGAAGTTGAGGGTTGAGGACATGACAGGACATCAACTTTTGCATCCACATATCAGTGTTCTTCCGGACACGCCAAAGAAGTACCAAAGAAGTATCTTTTCGATCGGTCCGTGGAGGCTTCTTGGCAGCTATCAGTTTGGCCGAGGCAGAATTTGGGGCCATTCTGGATTTTGCCATCGGTGGGAACTTCAAATTGTCTTCCTGCAGCATTGACTTGGCCGAAAGTTGGTGGATGAACCACTGGAAGAACCCACAGCAGTCGTTGTGGTTCTTGTTCCTCCACAGGTGCTTAATAGCAGGACAGGGTTGCCTTGATTTGCAGGTCAAGACCTATCGGGCTACCCCCCAACCCACCTTAAACCCTAAAAACACCCAAACCTTCACCCCAGTCCATGTGGATGATGTGGTGTTTTCACGAGTAAAGGTCGTCCCATGTCGTCCCTACTTGTACTGTACACCTTTTTTCAAGCCAACTTCATGTACGACCGACCGAAGTCGAGAGTACTCTCCGGGTGCCGATGTACTCTCCGGGTCTTGAGAGTCCATCCGTAGCGATGCCCTTTGCTCCGTTCGTAGCGTCCTTGTTACTACTAGTAAGGCACCTGTTACTACTAGCGTGGCACTTGTTTCTACTAGCTCCTTGTTGGGTTTTTACATCTCCCAAAGGCTCATTGGACCCCCAGTTCGCTAGGGTTTTGACCCTCACAACTAGGGTTTTGGACCTCGAACATGTAGCAGTTTGAGGGTCCATGAGCCTCTGGGCTCATTCTTACTTTGTAGTTGTTGACCTTTGTCGGGTGACCAAAACCTATCCAGGGAGTTTTACTCCATCTGAGATATGAATGAATGTTCATTTTAGACTTTTCGACCTTCAATTTGGATGGCATCCGATCACTAGCCCAGGCACATGACATGATCACACTGTGATCACACCAGCATTGGGTTGATTGTGGGGCTGGACAGAGTCAGAGTTGCCAACAGGTGTTGGTTTCAATGACTCTACATTGGGGAGTGGCTTCAAGGTGATGTATACCAGGAGTCAGAAGGTGCGACTCCAGTTGGCTGCCATTGGCCTCTGAGCCATCAGTCCATTCCTGCAATCAGGCTCTTCTCGATGAGCGTGCCGTTGGTCCTCTCAGGCCTCTTGTGTCACTTGACCTCTCTGAATGGGTGGTGATGGAGCCCTCTGGGTGGGTTTAGGGACACACAACACTCAGGCTTTAAGTTGCAGACCTTTTTGAGGTGAGGGTCAACTGTAGAATGTTGATCAATTTTGGATTATGCACTTTCCGATGAAGCTGTCAAGTCGAGAGTTGGGCATTTTTGAATCCTTCTCTGAGAGCAATCATAGATCCACGGAGTCAAACCTCAGATCGCTTGGGGTGTTCGGGTTCTGACATCCTACCCGGAACCTCTCAGAAAAGCTATTGGAGGATTTCGATGGACTTCCCTGGGGCCATGCTGGGGCCATACTCTCCCCCATGGTCCACCTCGATCCTCGTTGGGTCGTTGGGTCCGAAGGAACGCGAAAGGACGCGGCGGGAAGACCCGACCCGGACGTTGGACGGGACCGTGGGCGGGGAACTTCGATAAGGAGGATGAAGGAGGTTTGTTCAACGAAGCTTCAGTTTCAGTGTGTGTAATGGCAATATTAAAATATATTACATTAAGCATCTTAAACCATTTCACAGACAGAGGTGCTCTCTGTGTCATGTTGATAGAATGTTCATGACCATTTGCGGTGCGATTGTGTCCACAAGCACTCCTCGTTCTTTCAAAGAGACCTGGTTTCTGGCATGGGACGTTCTTTCAAAAGGATAAAAGGGGAACTGCCATCTTCCCTTTTCAGCTTAAGAGACTCCCTTGGAGACCCAAGACCTTGGATCACTATGGCCACTAAGACCAAACCGGAATACCTTACTTGACCACCCGAAATGACCAGAGTCTTGGTGTTGACCTGGTGTCTAACCCGTCTGCACCGCCTGGTGCGACCACTCGAGCGTTCCGCCGAGTTGTTGAGGCACGCACGCCGCATGGAACGCTGAGCCGACACAGCTCACCTGGTGGTGGGGCTTGCCCTTGCGCTCCCAGTCGCCACTCGTGAGCCTTGGATGCGCCATGGATGGGACATGGAGCTGGTACATCTGACATCTCAGATGCAATTCTCAGAAAGCGGCTGCTTCAGACCTTCAGTGACTTCTTGAACGCTGTTTACGGAACATCTCATTTGGACCATCGTATATTTAAGGTTTGGGTCTTCCAAGTCGGTCGGTGCTCACGAGCTCCGACCGCTTGGCCGACCACTCGACGGCCCTGTCTGTGGCTGGGGCCGTTCTCCCGGCTCCCTCGTCGTCCGGGAGTTTCTGCGAAGCCCACCGAACACCTCAGGAGATGGACCCTTTGGGCACCTTTGGGCCCCTCGGCGGAACTCGCCGCGAGGAACTCGCAGAACCGGGGGAGCTGCGGACCTGGGACAGCACGATCTTTCCGTGGAACGCGACCTGACGACCGGGTTCACAAGTCGGTTCGTGCGGTGAAGGGCGTGCGAAACGAGGCTTGAAACAGATGCTTTTGGGGACCACTGATGGGTGGGGACCACTGGCGCCGCAATTGCGGTGCGCGTCGGACGGCACTTGGCGCTTCTGCAGGATTGGCGGTTTCTTGTGGTGTCCTGTAGAGTGGAGAATTTTCTTTTCGGGGGTCCCTGCAATCCTCCCAGGGAACGTGCTTGCGGAACCCGAAAAAAGCGGAAGCCCCGCCGCGGAAGGATTCTTCGTTGACGGGTGATCCCGCAATCAGAGAAGACTCGAAAACTGGACATCGTGAAGCATTTTGCTGGCACACCCGTGCGGAACAGTTGCAACTTGAGGTTTCCTGCAGGGTGTGATCATCTTGCTGGCGTGGGATCAGTACTTGGAGCGCAAGAACCATGTGGATAACAGAACGAAAGACAAGGACGGACGGGGACTTAGAGCTCGGGACTGAGCTCGTGTTGGAAGAAGATTTTCCACTTAAGGTCTCCTGCAGATCTTCATCAAGAGGGAGAGACTCCAGGAGAGACTTTAGTTAGTGACTGTACATGGTTTAGATCCGGGCTTTGGACCGTCCATGTTGTTTTTGTTTTGTTTTTTGCACATCTCAAACAGCTCACTCCTTCCTGTTTGGGTTCCACCACTCTGTTCGGGCGGACCTTGGTAGCGAGCTTGAACAGATGGAGCTTGAGGATAGATTTGTGGAAGGTTGGTTTTCCTCAGGCTTCCTCTACAAACAAGTGGTTGAAGAGGGTTCCATTGTACTACAAATAGGATTCATGTAAAGTCCGTGATGATCCGGCCTAAATCCTCTTTCGTTCAAACTCATCCATCGACGTCATTTGCACTCTGATTTCTTCACTTCACTTCGCCAGAAACTTCACATCACCAAAAAGTTTTTCTTCAAAAGAACTGTCAAAGTCGAAGTTTCGGGAGAACCGTCAAGGCGAAGCACAGCGAATCAAGGCGACCCCAGTCGTCCGACCGTTTCATCTCAAGACATCCCACGTCTCCACGGCGGAACGTCGCGGAAGGTCGCTGTCACTGTGAACGGTCGGACGACTGCGGCAGGTGAGGATGAGAACCCCAGACACTCGGGACTAACGGACTGCCGATCAATTGACCCCTCAAACCACCCCAATGCAGGTAAATATACCTTAGATGGAGTGTCTGGGACATATAAACTAAGCACAGCTAGGGGCGAGGTGAGGGGAGTTCTCCCTTTCAAGTGGGGAACTATTATGACATTATGAACTTTTGTTGCTGCTCCTGCTTACACTCTGCAGCCTTTTTGGTGTTAGGGTTTTCGGCTGGTCTAACACCACTTCTTTTGGGCCCCGCATGCTACGTCTGCTTGGATTCGCGCGCCAATAAAGCCAGGACATGTGGAACCGCTATCACTGCAAAGCAGTGGCCTCGCTTTGCGAAGGGCTCCCAGCCTTGTCCGTTGTGGTCTATACCTCCTGGAACATGACTCTCAGCGCAGCACACCATCTTGAATTCGGAAGTTCAAGGCTGCGGCCAATCTCGAGTGGTGCCTTCCCACAGAAGAATTCTTAAGGGTTCTTAAGCCTGCTTTGTTTCGCTGCAACATACGATTATATAAGATTTGTTATTTTTTTGATTCTTTTTGATATTCGTTTTGTAAGCTGAGATGCTCAGTAGAGGTGTTTCTAAGCTTCACGTTCAAGGCCATTCCGGCACTGAATTAGGAGTCTTGCCGAACAATCATAGAATCATAGAAATGGAAAACCACTCGTTCATAGATGATGATCTTTTCTCAGTGGGCAAATTGTCCACTTCCATGATTTGGATCAAGGGTGCTCCTGGCCTCTTACAGAGAGCATTCGAGAACAGAAGAGCCTGATGTGATCCCAGAGATGACCCACTGCTTTCTTTGGGCCTCCTCGGTCCTAAGGACCTCGGTCCAGAGGGCATCGAAAGCCCCCAAGGAGTTTGTGAAATTCTTGGGGCTTCCCCCAGCAAAACTGCAACACATGGCCGCAGGCTTCGCAGAGGACGGGCGGGGCATGGATACGGATATGGGGCAATCCATCGACCGAGCCGACCGAAGATTTGGAAGTCCTGGGACGCCAGCAGGTCCGGGCTCACGGTGCGCAGCAAGGACCCACCTGGTGGGAAGGTCCCACCGGATAGCACATGTTGCCTGCTCAGCAGGTAGGGAGTGTGTGACTTGATGTGGTAGGGAGTGTTTCGTTTTGCTTGAGAAAGACATGTGGCTTTGCGAACGAACCAAGGAACTATCCAGAGGATGCACCAACCTTGAGAATGTTCTGGCCCTACGAGCAACACTTCCTAAGTGCCGAAGACACATTTCATCAGCACGCGTCCAGGGGAAATTGGATGAAATTGGTGTTTGGAAGCGTGTAGTGCACAAATCGTTTGGCCGGCGAGCTCTTTATCTGGATTTGACACATGCAATGGCGGAGGAGGATGTCCTCTCCAAATGGGTGTGTCTCAAAACGATTGAGAATTCCTTTGACTAATGATTTCTCTTGTGCCAGTCGTTCGGGGCTCATTCTTTTCAAAGACACACTGCTTGATCAAGTGATACATCCCTCAAAGCCCTTGGCCTGTTTATAGTCTTCCCACGTGCTATAGAATTGATTTACGCGACTTCCAGGCTTTGCCCCAAGAAGTTGGCATAGACCAAGCCTTTTGGCGAAGCTATGGATTGATTTGATGTCTCAGATGCTACCCTTGGTGTTTGCCTCATCACTTCTCATCCACTGATCGTTCAGATGGGGTGCCATGACGGACGTCAGCTCGAATGAAAGAATCCAAGAGCAGCTTAGTGTCATGGTCAGGGCGGCCAATCCCCATAGTGATTATCCGGATTATCAACGATGCTAGTAAACCTGCTTGGATCGGGATTGCCAATACATGCTGAAGGATTTGAAGGGATTGTTACTCCCATCTACCAGCAATTGCAAAGAGGTGCCTACTGGAGGGTAGGGGTGCCCATTATCCACTCACTTAGGGACTAAACACCATTCCTTTGGAACTGCTGGTAATCGGGGAGCGAGACAAATGGTTGCTGACAGTATCTAGAGGGTGCTTTTGGTGTGAAGCTTTTGAGGTTCCTCCGACCACTGGTGAACACCATGATAGCTTGTAAAGACATGTTGATCCCGCCGGAAAGTGGCCCAATACGTCGACAAGCTCACAGACTCACAGACACCAAATCTTTCTTCAGGCAAGGTGGTGTGGCGCCACGAAAGACATCTGGGGTTGAGCAAGATAGATAGAATTGAGCATTCCATCACATACCTGAAGCATCCTGAAGCTGGGTTTGCCGTGCTCGGAGTGGTTGAGTGTCGGCCGCAAAGACAGCCAATGAACCATAGTGAACCAAAATAGACTACTTGCGGACCCAATCCCGCTGGGCTGAAGGCAGGGGCGGGGAGAACCTCCTTCGTTTCCAACTGTTGAAATTCACCTCATCCCCATGGACCCCGTAGCGTTGACTCTCAAGGTAGAGCAAAAGGTAGCGCTTACCGGGCTAGCAGGGTTAGCTAGGTAGTTAGTACTGTTAGAGCTGATCCTGTAAAATACAGGTTATCAGCCGTAGGCTAGTTAGATTAGAGCTATGGACCCGATGGATGACGACGTCCCACCAAACTCCTACGGAAGTGGCTTTGACATAGTTCCGAGTGTGCCCAATAGTTTGGATGCAGTTCAACGGCATGAACAAGCGGTTGCACAAGTGGCTGCAATGGATCCAAGGGTTGCTTCGGAGGTGTACCAAGAGATGCTAAATAGTGGTGGTAGTGTTACTCTTCAAGAGGCGACACAAGCTACCCTAGCAGGTATGCCGTCAGCCACCGTAGCTGGTGCGCCAACAGTAAACAACTTGTTGGCAATGACTCGGCTCAACGTCGTCAACCTGAATGCAACGCCAAACGACGAAGAACTACGACGGGAGTTACAACAACATGAGTTTTTGCTCAGCGAACAAGCCAGGAGGGAAGCTGAAATCGAGGCATTGCGCTTCAGGAGTATTTACGAAAGAGAAGCTTCCGAATCTATAGCGGCAACAAAGGCTGCCGCAGAGCAGGCAATGTTGAATGTTCAACAAAGGGCCCAACAGCAGGAACAAAGTGTTCAGCAAATGGTCCAACAGCAAGACAATGTTGCAATCAAACGGTTGCAAGGTACATTGGAGGAGCAAAGGGAACATTTTCAGCAGCGGCTAGCTCAGGCGACAGCAGCTCATGAGAAAGTTGTACAGGAAAAGAATGCCATGGCGGAAGAAGGCAATGCTTTTGTTGACAAAATGAGAACTGAACATCACCAGTATGTTGAGCAACAGGAGGCTAAGCTGAAGGCAGCTCTAGAGGCAAAGGATCAGGCAAGACATTCGTCTGCTGAAGAATCCCGGATCGCCATAGAGCTTGACTTCAAGCGAGAACAACTGGACAGTTCGTTAGCAATTGCACAGGCAAAGATCAAAACTCTTGTCAATGAGATGGAGACAACAAATAAGCAATATAAGGTTGATCGGGAAACGCAAGAGCAAACTATAGTTGAGCTTCGCAAGGACAATGCAATGTTGAAGGGTGAAATGGACGAGCTCAGACGTGTTGTACAGTCCTTGACAGACAGGGAAGAGGAACGCAAGGAAGCGGAGCGCAAGGCGCAATCCTCTAGCCCCGTTAAGCCAGGGCCGCAATATCCTGAGCCACTTACACCTTCTGCTCGACAAGACGCTCACCCAATTGGTCAACCGCGATCTTTTGAACCTCTACGCACGGAAGGCACTGTTCCAGCAACCTTAGACGGTAAGCCCCGTGAGGAAGGCGGATCCCCTATAAAGACGGCTATGGATGCAACAGCGTCCACGCGCAACACTGGATTCCCATCAATGTTCTCAGGGACAGGGGCGCCCGCAACGGAACAGGCAACGGCCTCTACGGACAGGCAACAATTCAAACAACCGGATCCGTGGACGGAGTACATGAAGAAGTCAGCACAATATAACTTCAGTGATGATCCTTTGTACAAAAGCTCCTTTAATCAGGAAGCAACAAAGACTAAGGATGATCGCAAGGACGAAGGGCCGGCTTCTCAGGTAAGAACTCCACAAGACCAAGATTTGGGGGAAATCATCAAGAAGGCCTTGCTAGAAGGGTTTAAGGGCGCTAAGAGCAAAGACTCTGACAAACCCAAGGCAAAGGAGGCTGATAAGATAGATCTTCCCAAATTCCCAAGTCCTGATAGGTACCGCACTTGGAGGGCCGCTGTTCGCGAAGCGATACGGTCCGCGTCCGATGACCCAGACGCTGCGTTCGCATGGGTGCTTGAGGTGTACGCTGTTCGTGAAGACAAAGCCAAGCTTTGTTCCGAATTGGCTGACCCAGGCAAGTTTCGGACCTTAGACACGAAACTACTTGCTGCTTTAACTAAGGTTGCCAAAGGTGAACTGTCTCAGCAGATCCTTAATTATAAGGAATCTGAGGCACAGCAAGGTAGGATCGTCCGTGGTCGTCAGGTGTTGCTCATGTTTGAAGTCCACTTCAAGACCAGTGAAGAAGCGGGTGCACTGTATGGCACTGAGGACCTCCTCAAGATCTCGCTTGATAGCGACGACTTGAAATCCTTTCTAAGAAAATGGGAGAGTGTTCTGACCGGAATGAGTCATGTCCCAGACCCGGCAACTCTCAAGGATTTGTTTTATAGAGAGGTTAGGAAGTCCCGCAAGCTCAGATTTGACCTTGATGTTTATGAACGAGCGCCGGAGGGAAGTAACGACAGAAGCTATGAATTTCTTATCAATTCTGTTCGACGTTACCTTGACAGGGAAAGGCTCAGGACCAATCGCGAAAAGATATCACAATCACACGCGGCAAAGTTCGCAAACCCGGCACCGCACGACAAGCGCACGCGAAGCCCAAGTTATGGCAAACGAAGCACAAAGGGTGACGGAAGCAATCAATGCTATGAGTATGCCAAAACTGGTAAGTGTAAGTACGGGAGCAAATGCAAGTACTCACACGACTCTAGCGCCCGTCCCCGCTCCCTTAGTCGGGAGTCGTCTCGTTCGCGTAGCGCAAGTCCGAGCAGCCGTTCATCGTTCAGGTCAAGCCGATCTCGAAGTTCGTCAAGACACACTTCCCGCTCCAGTTCAAGGAACTCATCAAGAAGCTCCAGTAGAGGGAGGAAATCTGACAAGCCATGCAGGTTCTTTGCAAAGGGTAACTGCAAAAGGGGTGACAAATGCCCGTTTAAACACGGAGACACTGCTACACCAGCCCCGCGCAGAAGGAGTCCCTCGCCCGCAGCTAAAAGGTCTAAGGACAAGAAATCCAAGAAGGACAAAAAGGACAAAAAGAGCAAACGGGAAAAGAAGGACAAAAGTCCAAAGGCCAGTCCATGTATTCAAACAGGTTTCGCAATGTCTTGCTTAGCAGCAACCGCAACTCGGACCCAAAAGAGTAAAGACTACTGGGAATTCTCCAAAGATGGCAATGAGTTGATTAGGCACCATTTGAAGCCTAGGCACAGGTCGTTTCTCCCAACACGTAAATCCTGTCCAGTTGAGTCATCTAGGTTGGAAGACCAGTTTACCATGGTAGTCACTGACTCAAAGGGAAAGAGTAGGACAATCAAGGGTAATTGGAAGAAACACCCAAACGCGAAACAGAAATTTGATTGGACTGGAAAGTCAATTTTCCGTGTTGTGCAAGAGAAGAGAATTCGTTTTGAATTAGAACCGGAGGTACACACCTTTCCTGTTTGGAAGGAAATGTACCGGCATGTAGTGAATAAGAGCAAGAAGCGGAACCTGTTCAGGACCGCTGAGGAATGCCCAAAGTCCCGCGGGTGTGACACTAAGGACGCCATTTTGGCAGCGGAGTCACTTAGGCAGATGCTCGTTTCGATGGATACCGAGGAGCCTGCGTGTGATTTCCTTTGTGAACATTCCCCAGAAGGCCCCGATGATCTGTGCTGCACGAAGTGCAGAACAGTCGTCGGAGAACAGGTGCCGTCATGTGCTCGCTTAACAGCGATGCCAAACATGGTTGGTATGGAGAAGTGGCTGGGTGACACTGGCACTGACCAGGACATCGTAGGTAAGGACTCTAAGACAGTCAACAGGGCCACAAAGATATTCAAATCCAACGAACCAATCTCCCTTACTACTGCCAATGGACCTATCACTGCTGACGAAGTAGTAGAGGTGATCTTGCCAGGGTTATGTGAATCCTTCAACCCCTACATTCTCCAAAGTACTCCCTCTGCACTTTCAATTGGTTTGAGGTGCTTAGAACAGGGATATGATTTTGTTTGGGGAAAGGA